GCTGGTGATGGACGATTTTGCTATGATATTATATTTGGCATATTATTATTTTGGCTTTAATTATCTAAATGGATCTCATATTCTAAAATAATCTTTTGAGGAGAGGATGTTAGAAACTTATTATAGTTAGAATAATTATTAGAAAAATATGCATTCACATTTAATGACTTTTCTAATATTAAAGAATTTTCTAGAGAGTTAATTATAATTATTGAATTAAAATGTGTTTAGTTAGTGATGATATCATTAAATTTGTATCAATCAAAATAAGAAATAAGAGAACAAGTAATTAATCTCTTTCATCAAAATATATCTTCTCTCCTTCGCTTCTTCTAGTTCTAAAATTGCTTTCCCTTTGTAAAAAAATATATACAAATTCAGAGAATCTAACTAAAGTAAGCTAAACAAAATCCCAAACGATGGAAATCCAATTAGCTTTTGAAGAGATTTGAACTCTCATAAAGATGAAACGGCACAGCATTCACGTGAGTCAAACAAGTCGATATCTCCTGTCAGAAAGCTCAAGTACAAAGCTGCAGAGAGCAATGAAGAAGAGATAGAGGAGAGAGATTTGAACTCTCTCTCTCTCTCACAAGCTATTATTATGTGCGGATAACGGACACAACCAATGAGAGAACCATTCAGTTAAGCGCTGGGTACCCAGCAGTATCGAGGCCAGGGTACTGAGTGCCGGTACCGAGGGGTACCGAGTGCGGGTACCGAACTGGGTACCTAGCAATGGAGTGACGTGGGACATTTTTATTGGTCTCTGGACTCCCTCCGAACTCCGCACAGAATAATAACCCCTCTCACACACACACACAAATTATTCTATGAGGATCCGGACGGCGTCCATAAATCAACTAGAATGCACCACGTCACTTTTTTGCTCGGTATCAGTGCTCGGTACTGAGTCACGTGGCGCGTTCCGATTGTTCTCCAGACCATTCGGTGTCCGTACAAAATAATTTCTCCACATGTAAACAAAAACTTGGATAATGGCTTATCAAAAATCTAGAAATTATTTGTGTGCATAATTCACCAATTTTACTGTGCATTTCATGAACATTTCAGTTCATTATCATGTAAAAATATTGGGAAAAAATATTAAAGCTGCGTTAGGTTTTGCTTGTCATAATTTCTACTCCCATGTTCAACACAATTTTTTGAGATCAAGCTCAACATCATGAAAAGAGGAATCCATCGAATCCATCGACACTAAGATAGCTGAGTCCAACTCAAGCACTTGAAGCATATATAGATACTTCAGTAGTGACTCAACAAGATGAATTCAATGAGCCTAAAATCATCTAATTTAGTGGTCATTAATATACTCAAATGCTCGGTAAATAATTTAGGATCAAAAGAATCAATATGAGTCATTCAATATAGTGTTTTTTTTTATTCGGACTAAAAATTATTAAAAAAAAAACAATTTTTTTCAAAAGGACTAAATAAGGCTTTGTTTGTTTGAGCGTTTTTTTGCCTTTTCCGTTTGGGAAATGAGTTTTTTTTTTTTTTTTTGTTCGTCAAATCACGTTCCCCATAACTCCTTTTTTTCATTTTTCTGTAGTTTTGAGAAAGCTTTTAATATATGCTTCTCCGTTATAAAACTCCATTCTCTAAACTAATGTTTTTTAAAACTGTCTTTTACAAAAGCACCAAAAAAACAAATGAAGCCTAAAACTCCATTTTCTACATGGGCAAACGGCTCAAAGCTAAAATAAATTGAAGAACCCTATTATTTTATTTCACAATCGACATCTGCTATCACCATGAGCAACCATAGCTGTCATTAACTCGACCAAAAAAATTTGGATTCAGGTTGACCCACAAAACTCATTTTTATCCGAAAATGACATGTTTAACATTTTTTTCTTAATTTTTTCAATATATGAATATAATCTTGTTATTTTATATCAAATATTATAAATTTTATAATTAATAAGTTATAAAAGGAAATTAATCAAAACGGGTTAATGGGTCAAATGCAACTCATTCAGGTTACCAGCAGGTCAGATTCAAGTTGACTAAATTCAGATAGAACTCAAAGTTGACCCGATTTGGCATCCCAACTACTAATATATACAGATGTAGATATGCACCAGAGAAAAGAGAGATGGGGAATAGAAGAGCTGTCATATACGGGCAATTGCAGGTAGGGATACACAGCTCATATTGGTCTGTTAGTTTAGAACTTATGCTTCTAGCTAAGAGGTTTTGGGTTCGAGTCTTTGTGTATGCGTTGTGTATGTGAATTTGTCTTAAATGACCTAAATGTCCAAAAGAAAAGACAAATATTTAAATCCACACGTGACTTCTGCAACGCCTAAATTAAATCTGTCACGTTCCTCTTTTTGGTGGGCCCACAAGTTTTCTTTGTGTTTGTCATCTTAGAACTGAAAATAACATAACAGCCTTGGCATTATTGGGGAAAAATTATTTGGCAATTTGGAGACTAATTATAATGCGCCCCATCATTTTTTTATTCAATATAGTGATATGGGGTGTTTTGATTGATCTCTGAATCATCTTATATCCGCACGGAATAATTTCTCTTTATTCGGAGTAGCAGATCCCATCCCTCTTAGCATTGGCATTATCACTTTCCTCCTTTTATCAATGAGGATTCACACATAGACCATCATTTTTTTTTATAATGCTATTTTTTATGATTGTAAAAACCTTGTTAGTATTTTTTTTTAATGATTGTGATCAAGATTCTGATATGTGACACATATTAACTCATATTAATGAAAGAAAATATATAAACAAATAAATATGATTTGGTATTATTGTAATCATATTTTATTCACTAATAGTGCGAGATTGATTTAATCAAAAACTCACATACATCATATATAGTTGCAAATTCAAGGCCTCTTAAGCTTCGTTTGTAACTGTTTTTTTACTGCTTCTTAAAGGAGCATTCTCTTTATTCGGAGTAGCAGATCCCATCCCTCTTAGCATTGGCATTATCACTTTCCTCCTTTTATCAATGAGGATTCACACATAGACCATCATTTTTTTTTATAATGCTATTTTTTATGATTGTAAAAACCTTGTTAGTATTTTTTTTTTTTAATGATTGTGATCAAGATTCTGATATGTGACACATATTAACTCATATTAATGAAAGAAAATATATAAACAAATAAATATGATTTGGTATTATTGTAATCATATTTTATTCACTAATAGTGCGAGATTGATTTAATCAAAAACTCACATACATCGTATATAGTCTGCAAATTCAAGACCTCTTAAGCTTTGTTTGCAACCGTTTTCTTACTGCTTCTTAAAGGAACATTTTAGTATAAAAAATAAATTTTTATGCTAGAAAGCTGATTTAAAAAACAGTAAAAAGATGTCCCAAACGAAGCTGTCTTTATCAAAAGCCTAAGCTCCCAATCAGAAGCCTGAAATAAATTGCATAGCTCAAAATTGTAAGTAAAAGAGCACAAAATCCTTAACAAAGTAGCACTTTTTAAGAAATTTAGAGAGCATTGGCCCAATATATTATAATATAATCCATTAATCCAAAGCCCAATAATTTTTTTTTTATTTTAAAAAATTATAAATTCAAGTCATATATTTTGATATTTATTGAAAATCACGTTGAATGAATTTTGATCGTACGATGTGGAATTCAAGCCATTATAGCGTCAAAAGGAGATTAAAATCAAAGAAAAGCATCTTAAAAAATTTGCAAGGAGAAAAATCTCAATATTGTGGAAAAATTCTTACAATGATGTGAATGCTAATTTGAACTTAGGATGTCCAAATTTAAAAATAAAAAATATAATAATAATAATAATAATAATAATAATAATAATAATAATAATAATAATAATAATAATAATAAACAGTGGCTGGAGATGCAATGGTCTTAATAGAGGCATATGAAGTAATAAAAGCTTTTGTGAGCATGAATTGAATGTTTGAAATCTCAAATAATGAGTGTATATTAATATGCATCGATAATATATAAAAACATTCTAAAAATTTAAGGGACAAGTGCCCCCACATGCTACCCCATAAATCCGCCCTTGGTTGGAGAGGAATGCATCCTATATGAAATCCCACCGATTAATTATTCGGGCGTGAAACATCATCTGGAGACCAATCAGAATGCACCACATCACCCCTTTGCTTGGTACCGCTCGGTACCATGGCTCAGACGTTGTGCATTCTGATTGGTCTCCGACAGCATTCTGAGTCCGAACTCCAGACATAATAATTTCTCCCTTAGTAGGCTCACTTCTCTAGTCTAATTTCTTCTTTTCACTTTCCCACGTTTTACCCTCCCCCTATAATAATGGAAAACTCTATCAGAAATAGTAATTCTTGTTTAAATGCAGGAAAATGCATCTTATGTAATTGTATGCAATTGTAACTAAGATGGTAAAGAACACCCAATTCTTCTCCCTTGCCTAAGAATATGTGCCTGACAGGTGAGAATATGTCAAGCTCATGCAAAAAGTAAGCCAATATAAAAAATAAGGCACATCAAGATTTTACTTTTATATAAGAGTAATGTAATTAAGTACAGAAAATAAAGGCTTATACCTTACCAACAATTATATACAGAGAACTAAGTTGAACGGCACGATGTTTTAAGCTCCCTTCAACACATAATTATTGAGCATTCTTCCTGAGATCAATCCTCATATTAAGTATCTGCACACAAAAACAAAAAAGAAAACAAAGTGGAGGAATTTACCCCAAATAAAGTAGGAGCAATACCGTTAAGCATGAACAGAAAATCTGCATCCAGTCCATGCATGAGAGCCTAAGGGCATCTCCAACCAAAAACCCCACTTTCTACTCTAAAATGTTGTAAAACTTCAAAATATGGTAGTTCATCTCCAATGGAACTCCAATTTTCCTTTTTCGCACGCTTTTTTGCTTAGCTAACCATCTCTCTCCTGTTTCATACGCTTCCTGTGAAGCTAGCAGAGTGCGAAGGTAATCGCTTTTTTTGGCGTATGTAAACAGTCTGATGCCAATATTGGAGTCGCACTGTTCACCTACCAATTTTTGACAAGAGATTTGAAATTCGAATGCAGTGATTCGCGAACAGGCAGTTCGGTTGGAGATGATCTAACTCTCAGTACCATCAAAACAGCTCCATCCGGAAATCTTCTTCAGCCCGCCATGCCTCATCACTCTTCTCAACCTCTCCACATCTTCCCACCTCCCGACTTCTGCATACATATTTGACAACACTACATAAACCCCATGGTTTTCAGGGTCCACCCTGAGAATATTCTCCACAACCCTCTCTGCAATCTCAATTTCACCATGGCTTCTGCAGGCAGACAACAAAGCACCCAAGACCACAACATCTGCCTCCCACTTCATTCCCTTCACCAACTCCTCTGCCTCCTTCAACCTGCCACTCCGGCCAAGAAGATCAACCATGCAACCATAATGCTCCACTTTTGGCTCAATCCCATAGTTCTTCTCCATTGAGTGAAAGACCCGTCGAGCTAAATCAATCTTCCCAGCATGGCAGCAAGCAGTTAGGACTCCAACAATGGTTATGTCATTTGGTTGGATCTCTAGCTCCTCCTCCATCTGTTGGAAGAGCTCTAGTGCATATCTAGCATGACCATAGTGAGCTGACCCGCAGATCAATGCATTCCATGTAGCAATGTTCCTCTCAGGCATTTCTACAAACAGCTTCCGAGCAACACATATCTCCCCATTTTTAACATACATATCAATTAATGCAGTGCCAAGTATAACCCCCAGCACAATCTCCTTCTCTATGATCAGTTCATGGATCTGCCGACCCAACTGGAGCCCTCCCAACCGAGCACACGCAGACAAAACCGATGCCAGAGCGGCATCACAGGGCTCGATCCCCGTCCTCATCATCTCAAGGAAAAGCTCCACCGCCTCATTCGAGCAGAAGTTCTGAGCGTACCCACTGACCATCGTGGTCCAGACAATGGCATTCCTCTCATGCATTTCATCAAACAGTTGGCGTGCATCGTCTAGAAAGCCGCAAGTGCCGTATGAACGAATCAAGCCATTGGCCACATAGGGGTCGGAATCGAGGCCGTGCCGAAATGCATGAGTGTGAATTTGTCGCGCGGCGAAAAGATCGCCGCCAGTGGCGGCGGCTTTGAGGAGGAAAGGGAAGGTGTGGCAGCCGGGGGGAGGGCCTTGGAGGAGCATTTGGGGGTAGAGGAGAAGGGCTCGGGATGGAAAGGGAGATGCAGCGAGGGCGCGGATAAGGGTGTTGTACATGAATGAGTTCGGGGAGGGAGAGGATGAGAAGAGGGCAAGGGCGTGGGGAAGATGACCGGAAGGGTGGAGGGCGGCGAAGGAGAGAACGCGGCTGGCTGCGTAGTTGTCGGAGATGCGGCCGGTGACGATCATGTGGGCGTGGACTTGCACGATCTGCCGCATCGACGTACAGGAGTCGGCGAGGAGAGAGAGAGAAGGTGGATGGGCCCGATGGGATTTTGCGGGCTTCAGAGGAGGAGAGGAAAGAGAAGGCAGTCTCGGCATAAGAATGAAGTTCAGCGGGAAAGCTGCATGGAAGGGAAGGATCAGAGGAAGACATTAAGATCAAAATCGGTGGTAATTGATGGTTTGTTTGGACTTTATGTATAATAGTCATAATTTTTTTTAAAAAAAAAATTCTGTAACAAAAAAAAAATTTGCAACCAAAATAAATTATCTTGTTGCGGGCTAGAATATACTCAGCAATAGAGTTGAAATACTTTTGTCTTAGCGTTGTACGAATATTTAGCACACATAAATAGGAAATGAGAAAATGAACACCAGGATTTTTACGTGAAAAACCTTGAAAAGAGAAAAAATCACAGGGCCGCGCCCAGTTGAAAAGTACCACTAGTGTTGCGTAAATTACAAGAAGCTTATTCGTCCTACAAGTCAGGACGATCAAATTACAATAAGTTTCTTCTGAATTAAAACAGAGTTTGTGCAGAATTCCGACGTTTCCCGAATATCTGGCAGAATTCCGGCGTATTCATGCGGCGGGAAGAACTTCGGCGATGGTCGAGGAGGAGCTGATTCTCCTCCTTTTCTTCTTCCCTTCTTCTCCCTTGGGTCACTTCTTATGGAGAATGAGTGCTCTATTTATAATTTTTTATGGAGTGGCATGGCTTATAAATAGGCGCGAGATCAGGGGCAAATAGGGAGTGGTCGAATGGACGGCCGATATTGAACCCTTGGATCGTGTGTCGTTCATTGGACATTTGAAGGCCTTAGTGATGTTGGAATTCGACAATCTTGGGCTCGTTGGATTCGTCTCGTCGAGCCGCTCGATTCGACTATAAACTCGTCAAAATCAAAGACCGTTTGGCAACTCAAATTGTGGTACGAACTTTCCAACAGCGCTTCAGTTGCTCGATTTGGGCTCAGATTGAATTGAATTTAGTGTCGTTGGGTTCGTATTTCCAAGACGATCAGTTCGAGTATAAGTTTGCTGAAATCGGAGTTCACATGATCCTGGATTTAATTTTTTTAAGTTTCCGACTAACTTTTTGCCTCGAGATTCACGCCCGATCAAGATAATTTTATGATGACGTATCATATCTTATAACAACTTTACAATCAATTTTATAGAATATTACAATTGTCTCAAATAAATCTTAAGTTTATGCTAATTCATTTTTGTATTTGAATTTCTGCCTAGCTTTTATGTTTTATAAATAATTTTTTAATACAAAAGTTTTTGAATTGAAAATTTTCGTATTAGAAAATAGTTTAAAAAAATACTAAAAAAATTGTCCCAAATGACACATTAATATAGGAGAAAATAATTTTAAATAAGTAGAATTATTTCTTATAGACTGCAACACATCTTGCCAATAAGTCTATCGCATCTCTACCATTATCTTCAATATCCCTAATGGGGAAGAATTATTTCTAAGCATTTGAGTGGCTACACCTATAATCATCTCAATTATAATTAAAAAAGAAATAGAAAAGGCATATATATAGCTTACTCTTGCTACAAGAGTTCGAAGCAATACTCGCCGGCACCAACTCACTCTTAGTATTAGAGCTAAGAAATTATAAGTCTTAAGAGGCTCAAAACTCAAGAGAATATTATGATTTTAGGCTTCTACATTGGAGAAATTATTCTGTGCGAACGTCAAACTCCGTCCGGAAACCAACTAGAATGTGCCACATTCGCTATGTGCCGCCGTGTTGATCTTTGTTCCTAGTTTTATGGTTGTAGCTAGTCTTGTAGCTATTGGTGTTTCCTTTTATGCCTATATAAAGGCTATAGATTGTATTAGGAATGCATGGTTTGAGAAATAAGATTTCCATCGTTTGGCTGCCACCCTCTTCCCTTCTCCTCTCTCCCTCCTCCTCTCTCAACTTCAAGAAGAGGAAGTGTTCTTCCTCTCTTGCCGGAGTTGTGATTCAACATTTGGTATCAGAGCCTCGTTGAGGCGATCTTGAGGTGGAGGAGATAAGGTTTCTTGACTGAAGAAACGATTCTGATCGGAAGAGGGCGGCGCTCTGTTGGCTCGGGTTGGATCTACCCGGCGGAGAGTGGAGCATCCAGAGGTGCTGTTTCGGCAAGAAAGAGCTCGGACGCGGCTGGAGTCGCGGAGCAGGAAGTTCTTGCGTTCAAGAATCCGGAGAGGAAGCTGGCTCGGTGAAGGGAGCCGGACGGGTTTCTTGATCAGGAGTGCGACCTGGTGCCGCGAGCGGAGGCTTGGAGTCACGCCGAAAGCAGCTAGAGTTCGGCGTGAGACAGCACTGGTACGCTCTGCCGGCCGGAGGAAGCACGACACGCCGGGAGTCGGGCGTGCGTGAAGGGGACCTGCTCGGTTCGGAGGCTTTGGCCGTCTGATGCAGGAGGCTTCGGGATGAAGTCGGAGTTAGTTCTGACGTAAAGATCAAGATGCCGGAAGTTTGCCGGTTTCGGTGAAGGGAGTTGCTGGCTGGAGGTACGCAATGAGGTGGTTCTTTTGCTCTGAGGAAATGGACTTCGGCCCTGGACTAGGGATGGACGACGGAAGTCCAGGTATGGATCGGGCGGAGCTCACGATAGCTTCTTGATTGGCAAGCAGGCAGATCAGACGGAACCAAAACCTGAAATTGATTATGCATAAGGTGATGTCACGTTGACATCGGCAGCGTCTTTCAAGTTGAGAAGGCAGACGATGCAGGAATATAACACGTTGAATGCAGTGGATTCAAGTGGATCTTGAAAGCTTGAGTTGGTTTGCATTTTTGGAATAATAAAGAAGATATCAGATCTTCTTTGGAGGCAGAAGGACCGGTTCTTGACGGAGCAAGGAGATATCTGCCTGGTTGAGGCAGGAGGAGCCAGAAGCGGTTGAGCCGTGTGTAAGATTCTGGTGACAGGCTGGCTGGGAGTCTCTGGAAGAGCTCATGAAGGAGTTTGGCGTCGGAGTGAGCGGAAGCAGGTTGGTTCGACCGGAGAAAGACTTGATTCAAGCGGCCGAGCTGCAGTGAACGGTAAAGGGGCCGCGTCGTGTGCTGCTTGGTGGAGGCGATGCAATGAGAAGCCGGTCAAGCCCAACTGGGCTTGTTGACGCGATTAATCGCGTGGGTCGGACGTCCAGAAGGCCGGAGGCATCGTGTGGTTCTGGCTGGGTTCGCCGGATCCAGCGGCAGAGCTGTGATCGGAGGTACACACAAAAACGACGGAAGCCGGATTTGGTTCGGCGGGCAGGTGTTGCACGCGGAAACGACAAGGTACCGATCGGAGCAGCTGAACGGGAGAGTAATTGACGCCGGGCGGACATGGACGGTGGCTTGCCGGTGACTTCGGACGCTGGACTTGGTTCGGCGGACTTTCCGGAGTTCTTTGCATGAAAGAAGATCCGATTTGCCGGCCAACAGGAGCTGTCCAATACGAGAGGGCTCGTTTGTTTGCGTGAGGAGGCCGACCGGAGGTAAGCCGACATCAAGTCGGGATCAGCAGAAGTCCGGCGGCAGAGCTGCTGGCCGGAGGCGTCGAAGGCGGAGGCTCGGCGTTGAGGTCGGAGAGTCCGACCAAGAAAAGGGCCAGCGGGTTTCTCACGGGATTTTGGCGTACTGGCCAAAGGCAAGCATGAGATCTTGAAGCCGGAGGTGGTTTTAGGTGTGTGAAATCCGGAGTTGTTCGCCGGCAATTGGTCGGAGTTGAGCCGGAAGAGTTCGAAGGCACGGTGGGTGCCGATTGTAACAGAGCTTCAAGGCGCGTGAGGCAGCATTGTTTTGTGCTGCGGACTGGAGGCTGTACCAGGAGAAGCCAGAAGCTGGAGTTAGACGATGAGGCAGGATCGCGCAGGTGTTGCACGCGAACGCGGGCTGCAGACCGCGGCGGCTGGCCTGGCGCGGTCGACCGAAAGCTGGCTGATGGCGTTGATGATTTTGATTGAAAGAAAATCGTCAAGGAATGCCGATGGGCTGGAGCGAGTCCAGCATCGGAGGCGGCAAGTCGGCAAGATTGGAAGCTGACTGGAGTAGTGTTGCCTGGCTCGGTTCGACGGGGATTGCAGGAGCTCGCAAGGGAGATCGCGAGCTGCTGGAGGAGAAGCCGGAAGTGGTTTTCGGCGGTGGCATGGTGTCACGATTTGAAGGTGCTAGCCGGCTGAGGAGGCGATCTTTAGCTAGCAAGGGAGATTGCCCGGGCTAGGCGCTTGAAGCTGGTGACAGAGGCAGAAGCCAGTCCGGCGGGTGCAGAGATCGGGCTCGGGTAGAGAGCCGGTGTCGTGGTCTGAGTTGGCAGAAGACAAGGCCAGCGAGAAGGATTGATCTGGCTTTTAAGAAGCTAGATTGTGGATTCTTTTGTAGAATCTTGCGTGCTTGTTGGAGTTTCAAGCAGATGGTGGCTCAGACAGGGTCAGCGAGTTTTGAACAGCTAACGGAGCTACATGAGGATTGGAGATCCTTGCAGCTCATGGAGAGCATGGTGAAGTGCTTGGCTTGGTATTTTGTTCAAGCAACACAGTGGATGTGTTTTTGAGGTGGAGTTTTCTACCTCTGAGGATTGCAGCCGTAGGCGGATGGAGCCTGACGGGAGCTCGTAGTACGAGCTGAACAAGCTAGCCAAAGCTTGTGATTGCGCTGGAGTCGCGAGAGGCGAAAGATCTGTTCAGATCTTTGAGGTGGAGCTGTGGACTTCTAGTGGAGTCCTGGAGATTACGATGTGGAGTCGACCTGTTCTTGATCAGTGCCGGGATTGGATGGTACTGGCGGAAGACACGCAGGGCATTGGCTGGATGCTGCAGTGCAGGGCGTGAGTTTGTGACGGCCGGAGAAGAACTATTGGGTGTGAGAGCGAGAAGAGGACTAGGTCTTTGTTAACGGCTGGTTCTTGGGCTTCTTGTGGAAGAGAGAAGATTTGAGGAGTGAAATCTTGAGATTTCTGTGTGAAGAAGGTGTACCCTTCTTGTTCTTCTCTGGTTTGGTCTTCGTCTCTGAAAGGCAAGAGGTTTGCCTGTTGGAAGCTGCTTGTGCCGTAAGATCTGGATCCTTAGCTGGACGCTGATTTGCAGGTGAGTTGATACCTGCAGGGCTCTCGGAGTTTTGGGGCTACGTCCCCTGGTTTACCCGACTGTATGTTCTTGGTTGTTGTTTTAAGAACTGTTGATTTCATTGTTTTGATAAAACTAGGACCAAGGTGGAGATTTGTTGATCTTTGTTCCTAGTTTTATGGTTGTAGCTAGTCTTGTAGCTATTGGTGTTTCCTTTTATGCCTATATAAAGGCTATAGATTGTATTAGGAATGCATGGTTTGAGAAATAAGATTTCCATCGTTTGGCTACCACCCTCTTCCCTTCTCCTCTCTCCCTCCTCCTCTCTCCCTCCTCCTCCTCTCTCAACTTCAAGAAGAGGAAGTGTTCTTCCTCTCTTGCCGGAGTTGTGATTTAACAAACATGTTAATTTTTGGGCTCCATATTACATGTTAATTTTGGGAACCCATTTAGATTAGGATATTTTGAGCCAATTTTTCCATTTACAAATCTTTTGTTTTATATCTAAAAGAAAACATATGATCTCTAATATAAAATTTTAGTCATATATATAATAAGATTAGTTAAGAGTAAGTTGAGCCCCACTCAAATTTTGGCTTCATTTAGGATAACTTTTTTATTGCTTTGCTTTTCAAGCCAAAACCATAATTTTTATTTGGCCACTAATTTTTCACTACTTTAAATAATTTTTTGTATTAAGAAACTGTTTTCTACAGCAGCTTTTAATAAAACTATTTTTTTTCCACGGCAGCTTTACAACAACCTTTATAAAAAGAGTTGGTGAAGGCCAATATTCGAAGGAGACATAAATTTAATACGTTGGTCGATGAATTATAAAGAAATGGATCAAAATAGCGTCAGTTATATAAGTTCTTGTTGACCTCGTTTTCGGCATCGGTCACTCTCACTATCTTGTCTTGCATTGTGTAGATTGATCCACCTTCTGGTATGTTGCATCGCTTTGTGCTAGGTGAAGGATCAAATTGCGTATTTTGCCCCGGCTCATTGTCAGCCTTAGGATTTACTCCTTTTTGACCACATGTCTCATATTTCGTTTTAAAATACGCGTGGTCGGGTCGATGACGATTCGGTGTGATTTCACGCATTTTGGCCTTTATCATGCATGTTTGTTCCGTGTGTAATATCTTTTGATCGAGACCTTATTTTGTGAAACGAATTACGCGAGCGCGTCCGGACCGCCAAAATCTTTCAAATGAGCTCATTCGCGCTCTGATCGAACACCATTTCATGCATGTTGAGGAGAAAGGCTAAAATCCTTATTTATATTATTATCATTATTTTCAAATATATATAATATAAAAATATACCTTTATTTATTTATTTATTAAATGAATATAATAAATTATATTTTAATTAAGATATGAATATGAGATAATAAGTTTATATAGTACAATAAAAATATATAATAATGATCTCATTCAAATTAATTTTGTTTTAGACTTGAAAACAAAATGACTTTTAACATCACCTCTTTTAACCTTTCAAATCAAATATATATTATGGTTCAATGTTCAAGAACCAGGATTCATGTAAGAAAAAAAAATCCCTCTCTATTTGCTTTTGCAGGAAAAGACAGCAAGAGGACAGCAGCTCATCTTTACTTTTTAGAAAAAAAAAGAAGAAGCACACTATATCTCATCCGTCTGATGGGAGGATAAGTGATCTTTGATCATTTCTTTAATAAAAAAAAAAGATGGAATAAGACAAAAAAAGGAGGTCTTGAAGGTCTGATAAAAAAAAGATCTCTGGGATATGCTCGAGGACAAGAGCTGGAGACGGGTTATATGCATGCTAGGGCCGGCTAAAGAGAGGGGTGGCTTTTCATTTTTCTGGCCGGATACCTCCCGTCATCTCTGGCGATCTTTGTCAAACTCCAACCTCCAGGTCGCCACCGGCAGCCACTCGCCTCCAATAGCACGCTGGCTCCGTCTCCCTTAGCCCAGCTGAGCGGAAGCAGGTTGGTTCGACCGGAGAAAGACTTGATTCAAGCGGCCGAGCTGCAGTGAACGGTAAAGGGGCCGCGTCGTGTGCTGCTTGGTGGAGGCGATGCCATGAGAAGCCGGTCAAGCCCAACTGGGCTTGGTGACGCGATTAATCGCATGGGGCGGACGTCCAGAAGGCCGGAGGCACCGTGTGGTTCTGGCTGGGTTCGCCGGATCCAGCGGCAGAGCTGTGATCGGAGGTACACATAGAAACGGCGGAAGCCGGATTTGGTTCGGCGGGCAGGTGTTGCACGCGGAAACAACAAGGTGCCGATCGGAGCAGCTGAACGGGAGAGTAATTGACGCCGGGCGGACATGGACGGTGGCTTGTCGGTGACTTCGGACGCTGGACTTGGTTCGGCGGACTTTCCGGAGTTCTTTGCATGAAAGAAGATCCGATTTGCCGGCCAACAGGAGCTGTCCAATACGAGAGGGCTTGTTTGTTTGCGTGAGGAGGCCGACCGGAGGTAAGCCGACATCAAGTCGGGATCAGCAGAAGTCCGGCGGCAGAGCTGCTGGCCGGAGGCGTTGAAGGCAGAGGCTCGGCGTTGAGGTCGGAGAGTCCGACCAAGAAAAGGGCCAGCGGGTTTCTCACGGGATTTTGGCGTACTGGCCAAAGGCAAGCATGAGATCTTGAAGCCGGAGGTGGTTTTAGGTGTGTGAAATCCGGAGTTGTTCGCCGGCATTTGGTCGGAGTTGAGCCGGAAGAGTTCGAAGGCACGGTGGGTGCCGATTGTAACAGAGCTTCAAGGCGCGTGAGGCAGCATTGTTTTGTGCTGCGGACTGGAGGCTGTACCAGGAGAAGCCAGAAGCTGGAGTTAGACGATGAGGCAGGATCGCGCAGGTGTTGCACGCGAACGCGGGCTGCAGACCGCGGCGGCTGGCCTGGCGCGGTCGACCGAAAGCTGGCTGATGGCGTTGATGATTTTGATTGAAAGAAAATCGTCAAGGAATGCCGATGGGCTGGAGCGAGTCCAGCATCGGAGGCGGCAAGTCGGCAAGATTGGAAGCTGACTGGAGTAGTGTTGCCTGGCTCGGTTCGACGGGGATTGCAGGAGCTCGCAAGGGAGATCGCGAGCTGCTGGAGGAGAAGCCGGAAGTGGTTTTCGGCGGTGGCATGGTGTCACGATTTGAAGGTGCTAGCCGGCTGAGGAGGCGATCTTTAGCTAGCAAGGGAGATTGCCCGGGCTAGGCGCTTGAAGCTGGTGACAGAGGCAGAAGCCAGTCCGGCGGGTGCAGAGATAGGGGTCGGGTAGAGAGTAGGCGGATGGAGCCTGACGGGAGCTCGTAGTACTAGCTGAACAAGCTAGCCAAAGCTTGTGATTGAGCTGGAGTCGCAAGAGGCGAAAGATCTGTTCAGATCTTTGAGGTGGAGCTGTGGACTTCTAGTGGAGTCCTAGAGATTACGATGTGGAGTCGACCTGTTCTTGATCAGTGCCGGGATTGGATGGTACTGGCGGAAGACACGCAGGGCATTGGCCGGATGCGGCAGTGCAGGGCGTGAGTTTGTGACGACCGGAGAAGAACTATTGGTGTGAGAGTGAGAAGAGGATTAGGTCTTTGTTAACGACTGCTTCTTGGGCTTCTTGTGGAAGAGAGAAGATTTGAGGAGTGAAATCTTGATATTTCTGTGTGAAGAAGGTGTACTTCTTGTTCTCCTCTGGTTTGGTCTTCGTCTCTGAAAGGCAAGAGGTTTGCCTGTTGGAAGCTGCTTGTGCCGTAAGATCTGGATCCTTAGCTGGACGCTGATTTGCAGGTGAGTTGATACCTGCTGGGCTCTCGGAGTTTTGGGGCTACGTCCCCTGGTTTACCCGACTTTATGTTCTTGGTTGTTGTTTTAAGAACTGTTGATTTCATTGTTTTGATAAAACTAGGACCATGCAAGGTGGAGATTTGTTGATCTTTGTTCCTAGTTTTATGGTTGTAGCTAGTCTTGTAGCTATTGGTGTTTCCTTTTATGCCTATATAAAGGCTATAGATTGTATTAGGAATGCATGGTTTAAGAAATAAAGCTTTAATGTTGGCTGCCTCCCTCTTCCCTTCTCCTCTCTCCCTCCTCCTCCTCTCTCAACTTCAAGAAGAGGAAGTGTTCTTCCTCTCTTGCAAGGAGTTGGATTCAACACGCGGCTTGGTACCACTCAATACTATAGCTCGGTATCACTGACATGACTGCACCTGATTCGCCTCAGGACATAGAGCTATGTCCGGCCTCCACACAGAATAATTTCTCCTTACATTGAGGTATCTTAGGAGTGTTAAGAGTAAATATCTTTAAGTTGTGCAAATTCTCGATCACTCACATACCTCAAGAGGAGAACAAAGTTGCAAACCTATTGGTGAAGTATTATAGCCCTCTTGCAACTTTCCCTTACATTAACTAAAGAGAAGTGATGTAGCACAGAGATAAATATCAAACATAATAATAAAGTCCAGTTACAATTATGAATTATTATGTGAAATAGGCTACATGAATCATTTTTTCTCAATTCTGGCTTATTAAGAGTCAAATTCCACTTATAGTTTCAACACATCAGAAAAATAATAAAGAAAACTACATCACAATATTAGGACACATTAGCAAAAACACAATAAAACTGACCATAAAAGTACCCAAAATGACTCTAAGAGCTAGATTCCCATCATAAATTGGTTTTAGTGCAGAAACAAAAGGAAACTTGTCACACAAACTAAGCTGCCATTCTTACAAACAAACAAAACCAAAGATGATTGGCTTTTTACTTCATAAAAACTACATCTCCATATGTAATTACAATGTGATTTAAATGCTTCAGATGCTCTGATCTTGGCTGCTACAACTATTTTCTAAAGGTGTATTGAAAGAGAGCCTTACTGTATTATAGATCAGAGAAGGTTCGGCCATTGCGCCATTGCCATAATCGCCGCAAGCAAGCTTTTGGTGATGGGAGGAAGAAGAGACGCACCAAGCTCACCAATGGTGTTTAGATGGCGCCTGGTAAAGGGATTGTTCAACATGGAGGTGTTCATGGCAGGGGCAACATATAACGGCTTGCTGAAATCCCAAGCTCTCACAATACAGGTTAACAAATTATCGCACAATCCTCCAGCAATCTAGTAAACAAGAAATGTCTGTTAAGAACAAGAGTAAACATTAAAATTGAATCATTATCATCATTATTAGCTTAATTCTAACTATTTGGGGTTAGTTTTCTTAATTTCCAAACTCATTTGTTAGACTTTAAGTGTCACATGAGATGCTTCACATAATTTTTTTTGCACAACATTTCATTCTTGTTACCTTTGATTTATTTTGTTTTTTTCTTACTAATCTTTTGATGGTATTAATCTACTAGTCTAAAAAGTGCAAGTTCTACCTTTATATTAAGAAGTAATAATATATGAAAAGGAAGTTTAAGATTTCGTTTGAGACGGTTTTTTTGTTGCTTCTTAAAGCAGCTTTTTAGTTAAAAAATTAAAAATTGCATACTATAAAGCTGCTTTAAGAATTGAATTATAAAACGCTTATTATGGTATTGGAAGTACGAAACATTACACCACACTAAATGAAGGCTTGCACCGCAGTTGAAGCCTTGTGTGAAACTGCACAAACATAAATTGGCAATCCATGAAACTTGCCGCAAGTAATTGGGATAATGCTATTTGTTGCATTGCAGAAACAATTCGCTAACTTATGCTTCATTTGGGACAGCTTTTTTGCTTTTTCTAAAACAGCTTTTTAGTACAAAATTTTGTGAATTAGAAAATTTTGAAGTAGAAAGCCATTTTAGAAAGCATCAAAAAAGATGTCTCAAATGAAACCTTAATGCACAAATATAGCAAAAGTAACAGATGTCTGAAGGATTGCGACAAGTCAGTAAGTAACTTTGAATGCTTAAACAACAATTATTTCAATGTGTTGGGTTGGCTATATGAATCCTTTTTACCATTGTATACTATTAAGAGTTTAATTCTCATTTAAATTTAATTAAAAATTATCATTTTAATACAATTCTAGAGAAAAAGAGTGAAAATGATTTAATCAAGTCTTTTCTCATATTGAAAGAGTTACAAAATTTTAAGTTGAATTCATGTACTTTTACTCCAACAACAACCTCAAGCCTTTATCCCACTACATGGGGTCGGCTACATGAAGCATTTTTTCTCCATTGTGTCCTGTTAAGAGTCAAATTCTCATTTAAAACTAATTAAAAAAAATATCATTTCTAATATTTTCTAACTAGTCTTTTTTAGGTCTACTACTACATCTCTTAACATAGGTCAAATCTAATACATCTACTCTCCTAACAGGGTCATCAAAAGCCAACATTTTATGTGACCAAACCATCTAAAACAACTCTCTCTAATCTTCTGCCACTAGAGCTACTCCAACCTTTTCAGGTATATGCTCATTTTGCATTCTATCTCTAAGAGTAAAGTCACTCATCCACCTGAGCATCCTCATCTCTACAACACTTAATTATATGCTTCTTTTTAATGACCAACATTCTATGTCATAAAGCATTGTAAGTTTCACCACCATCTTATAGAATTTTCCCTTAAGTTTGAGGGGTAATTTCTATCACAAAACAGGGCTGATACATTCCTCCATTTCAACCATCCAACTTGAATTCTACTAATAATATCCCCATCTATTTCACCATCACACTAGACAATAGACATGAGATATCTAAAACGTGTACTCTTATTAATGACTTGATCGCCCAAAGTCACAATCCCCTTATTAGAACTATTACTACTAAAATTATACTCCATATATCGAGCTTTAGATCTACTCAAACGAAAACCTTTAGCCTCTCAGTTTAACCTCCATAATTCAAGTTTATCTTCAACTCCCTCTCTAGTCTTATCAGCAAGAAGAATATCATCAGCAAAAAACATACACCATGGTACATACCATAAGGGGAATATTCAAAGTGGTGTGGTTGAATAATGGTTTTGTACTTATTGTGAAGATAGTGGATCAGGGAGACAATACATCTCTTATGTTTGTGTTAAAAAAACGCCCTTTGGCTAGGGGTGTTTTGGTCCTACAATCGATCTAAGGCCCAAGTGTTAAAACACCTCATATCTAAGACCAGAATGACCATTGTACTCTTAAGGACAATAGACTGACAAATGAAGCTCCAAGAATTGACATTAATGTTGTTGGAGATCTAAACAAGGTTATTGGATTCACGCTGATGACTTTTAGATTGATGTTAGAGATGCTTGACTTGGATCAGCATATTCTAATTGAAGGCTCAAAATTATTGTTAGCTCTTATAAATTTGATTGAAGGGCTACTTCAGAACATGAAGTGAATTGATGGTACAGATTTGAAAAGTTTATTGCCTTGTCCAGCAATTGATGCATGAAGAAAATGGAAGCAAAATTAGCACCCTTAATTAGGGAAGCAAGATTAATTTGTAACTAATATTTAATCAGGGAGGTATCAATTGCCCTCTTATTTTTCAATCACTTCTAAAGAACAGAAAATATTTCCTTTAAATTGATCATTGCATGGGTAGTTACGTTATCCTTACAAGTTCTAAGGGAATTTTAATCAGATTCTGAACTTTCTGGTCCAATTTTGATCCTCCCAAACTACCACCACTCCAAAAATATCAATGAAGCATCTTTTTCAAGGTTGCAGACTAAGATATCATTTGTTGATCTTGTTATCGACTGATTAGTTGAAGAATATACTTTAAATTTTTCATGTGGTTTTGGAATGACTGTTCACTGATGTTGAGTCAAAAGAGGATTAATTGATCCAACTTGCCTCGTAGGAAACTTGTTCAAGAACATTTTGGTTTAAGCCAGGGTAGCATTTGTTCTTAAGTATTGTTTGCGCACAGTTTAAGGTTATGTGGGTCAAGCCATGGCCTAGGCTGTCCTGAGCTACTTCATAGTATGTGATTTATGGGATAGGTTATGGCCCAAGCCCATGTTATTTGAGAGTCAATCATTCAAGGGTGGGTCGAACTCTAGATTATGTGGGTTGGGCCTCAACTCGAGCCCATGTTGCCAGCATGATGGCCTCTATATGTAGACTTGAATTAATTATGAAATAGGCCAATCTGGTTCACATTGCAAGCATATTTTAAATAAACAAGGCCAATTTTTTACTCTCCTCAGGATCCATGTTTATAATTTGATTGGCAATCAATCCTGCATCATTGTAAGTGCATGCGCTAACTACCTCCAAAGATGAGCATATGGGCCTTGCACGTTTGTAGGTGCCTAAGCAAGCCTCTGGAAAAGACAAGGGTATGTGCCCACGCATTTGCAAATGCCTAAGCTGGCTTGGACTCCCAATATGATAGCGATGTGCAGATGTCTTTACTTGTGTTACATATTCGATGACAACATTGTGGCTTGAATATTCAACCTAGGTGTAACTCATATTCGAGCATCCGAAGTGATGGCAACAACTTGCATGAAAGAATGTATGGAATTATGATGCCTTGAAGTTGTTTCTTCAAACGAGGTATGAATGTTTATTCTCTATCCTTTTGTCAACAGATAAATGATGCATGTGCGGCCTCATTTCCAAGAATTGACAAACAGAGACAGGTGTGCTTTACTTCGAGTAGAATATATGGTCTTGATGGTGTTGACTAAGAATAACCTCTCTTCGATGATACTACTAGGTTAGGTGGTGATCTTGGAGAATGCCTTACTTAGGATTCATTGTTTTGTGATTCAAACGCGGTCGTTAAAAGTTGATCTCTTCTCTATTTATGTAAACATCTACCACTTGCCTTTGTAAGGTGAAGGATCAATCATTAGTACTTCGAATTGTTTCACCTTTACATCGCTCGATCACATAGGGTAAAATTAAAACTGGTATGCAATCTTTTGAAGTGTATATATAAACTCCCTAAGTTTTTGGAGGGAGGCTTATAGAACGCCAACATTCCAAATGGTTGTAATTATATACTTGAAATTTTTTTTTTTTTTTTTGTTTCAAGAATGATCTGATCTTTCACTTATGAACTTTAATATAATTAAATAGTCTTTGTAGACCCAGGGTAATTTGTATCCACGATAGAGTTAGGTATATATACTCGGTAGAGTTTGGTGGTATTTGTATATGTGTTGGGTAGAGTCTTTATATACCAAGTGAAATCGAGTAGTCTCCACATAACTAATGGAATTGGGTAGTTTCTATATACTCGACGGATGGAGTTAGATATTATCAATATATCTCATGAAGTTGGAATAAAAATAATAAGCTCATTTAAAGGTGCAACACAAATACGAAAAAACCCTACATGGTCTATACATTTTAGGTATGCCTTATATTGATCATTTCCTTATGGTCAAGGCCACGACCTTGCCTAAGAGTGAATGGTCCAACAAAAGACTTAAAATTCAAATGGAGATATATAGAGGGGAAAATGAAGAACCATTATAAGATCTAAAAAAATTTCTTCCATCATTACCCCTAATATGTTGGAAATTTTTAAAGGAAGAATGGTTTGTTCAAGATCTTCTTTAAAAATAAAACTCATTGGACATCAACATGGATATTCCCTCGAGATTGTAATCAAAATAAAAATGTGAGCTAACATTGCAGTGTGAATTGGCTTTAATTGAAATCAAGAGCAATCACTTTAGTGTTCTCGACATTCCTCTACATGAAGAAGAGTTGTTTTAATTGTTCTTCAATTCGTTGTGTGGATTTGAGAGCTTATTAAATGTTAAGGATTGCTAAAGTAATGAGGATGATCAAGCCACACAAATGAGAGGGTCAACTTGTTGTAGATATATACAATAGGTGATAGATTTTTGTATAGAAATACATGCCAACAAATTTGAGTTGCATCAGTAGATAATAAAGGAAAAGTTTCTCGCAAACAATGCCGACCAATTGTGTGTCAAAAAAGAATTGACGCCAAAAGAAATTCTTAGGCTATATTGTCCATAATGTTCCCAATTTTCTTCGGAAACAACTAAAAAAAGTGAGTATGCCCCGAGAAACATTTTCCTAGGAAGATACGTAGATGCTCTAATGAATAAATGGATTTAAAGATTTAATAAAGTAATAAAAATGACTTAATAAAGCCTTTTCTAGAGATTAAAAACCTTGAATTGAATTCAAAATACTTCTAACTTCTCCTAAGCAAGTTATTTATAAGGGTATGGCTAAAGGATAATTTGATAATTTTGGCAAAGAGGATTGTAGATGGCGTATATACTTTACCTTGAGATTCATGCTAAATATAAATAGCCCTATGGAAGTTCAGATAATCAGATCTCTTTAGAGGTGAAGAACCAAGACATCATGTCTCTAATATTGAAGTTCAACCACTTTACCTCTGAGTATAATGAACGGAATAACGAAATCCTTAGGTTTTGATATTAGAGTTTGAAGATTGAAACCAAGCCATTGGATTCACATTGATGGCTGCGAGATTGGCGTTGAAGCCTCAAGATTATTGTTGATTCCCTTAAATTTGATTGAAGATGTGCTATGAATCTTTAGTCAATCTAACAATGCAAACTCAAAAAGGATCATTATATTGTCCTTCAATTACTAGATGAGAGTTGTGAAAGCATGCATCTTGATACTCCTGATCAGACGACCAAGATTAATTTGTACCGAATATAATGATGATGATGATGAACTAATCAAAAGATATTATTATGATTCAAGCTTTCAAAGGCTAAATATTCAATAAATCAAATGGGAAGCTGCACTTAGGCACTAGAACATTCAAGGTGATACAAGAAGGAGATCAATAAAAGCTGCACTCATATATAGTGTGACAAGTTACTATAAAAAATATAAGATGAGTTTCAGATAAGGGTATCAACCTTCCCAGTAGGTATTGCTACCCAACTGCAAAGAAAGTCCAAAATAGCATTCAAAACTAAGGTTTGAAAGGACACCTTGGCAAGTGTATTTGCTGATAGCGGAGCAATGACAAGGATGTCAGCCCATTTCCTAAGCTCAATGTGCAATACATCATCACCAATCTTTTTCCAGCTCGACCATTCATCATCATCTGTATAAAGAATAACACTACTTGGAAGTGCAGATTTGTCTATGAAATGCAAAGAGGACTTGGTGACAACTGCCCTAACTTCTCCCCATTCCATGAAAGTGCGACAAAGGTTTTCAAACTTAATAGCTGCGACACTTCCAGAAGCAGCCAAAAGGATTCGGGGTCCAACAGGAAGCTCCTGCTTGTCAGTTTCTGGAATTGATTCCATTCGCACATCACTTCTTCCGACTTCAACTTAGGAAATTAACTTCTGCTGCACTGACACAGAAAAATGGCTTTAATTACCAAGATATCCAGCAGGTCAAAAATCAGATACAAGCAGTCTCATGCTCAAAAAAAAAAAAAAGCATGTTAACCCTGCTTAAATAGGATTATGATTAATGGAACAAGAGATAAATTTGTAAACACTATAAAATGGCTAATTTACCATCGTCCCCTGTTCAACTAAAATTATCTTACATAATAAGAGTAAGAATTACATTATTTCTAAAGCCTTAGTTGGAAATCTACAGTTATGCATTATCCCACCTCCACCTGATATGGCTCAAAAAAAGACATTGATTAAAAGGTATCAAAACAATATACTCTTAAAATTACCACTACTAGAGAATTCTTGGCAAGTGAAGTGGTTTGTAAGCTAATACCATTAGCTGTGAGCCATCTAGTTTTGGGTAGTCCAAAATTGTGGATAAGGTTGTAGTCTACTATAGAAGATATAAAAACTATGCATTGCCAAGAATGTTTTAAAGTTCATCATCAATCAGTCCATCATTCCAATGTGAAGGATTTGAATCCTGCTAGTCAACGCAGCAACGAGATTAGTGAATGCTTAAAAGGAATTCAGTTACCTTATCCTGCAAACAAGTACATCATCTCTCATTCAAGCTTCTTCTAACTCAAAAGGATGACATCATGTCCCAACCAAGCATCCTCCAACCCAAAAAAAAGGAGAGTGCTTACACTAGACAGCAAGGCTAACTCAAGTATGCTTCAACATATCGACATTGTTGACCTAGGCATGTAACCACTTCAAAATTTTGGCATAGACAAGCAAAAGCTCAACATTGAAAATACCAATATGCCCAACACAAACTACAAAGGTTCAAAACAATCTAAAGAAGATAGTTCATTAGCCACAAAAACAATAAACCCTCCTAAGTAAGAAGAAAGTTAAAAATCTTACATGTTGATCAATGTTGATTTCTACTTTCTAGTGGCAAATGACTTGATGTGTGGAACCATAATCCAATAAGCTCTTCAACAATCTAGTATAGTCTAATTTTAACAGCAACCTTAGGTCAATTCCTGGTGAATTAGCAATTTTGAGCCACTCAACTCTAGGTTTAAGGCTTTAAGCTAATTTAAATTAACCCAACAAATAGATTAAGTTACTTTTAGTTCCACAAACTCCGGTCATATGCAAAATTAGATGAAAGGAGGAACCATAAAAGACCAAGAATTTGCTCCAAGAATCAAGGACACCACATCACAAAGGACTGCCACCTCATCACGTTATACCGTCAAAGAGTAAATCCAAGGGTCAACAGCTCCCTTCCTTATACAAAGAAGGAGAACCACACCCATGTTGAATATATTTTATTGTATAGTTTATTAGTGATGATTATGATGATGATGATGATTTTATTATTATTTTAATGCTTAGGGTGTAATGATTATCATGGGTTGCTTGATTTAAGAATTAAACAAGCAACAACTCTAAATCCAAAGGTTCATTATTCTCTCCTAAAACTACAAAGAGGATCTCACGGAAGCTTTTTGCATCCAAGTTCAATTCCTTTTCATTGTAGAATTCCTCTCTGAGAGGTTTTCAAATGCAAAGCAAGTATAAAGCAAAGCATATCCAGTCCAAAACAACGTAAGTGATCACTATTTTCCCATTTCTCTTCATCTGAATCCTCCCAAAAGAATTTTTCCATGCATAGCTGGACTCATACCCCAGGATACCCAAGTAAAACCAGAGTTTAACCATCATCCTAGCTCCATATCTTAAGCTCATTTTTCCTAAATCATCCTAACTGCATACTTATTCTCCATTCATCTTCCACTTCCAATGCCTATGCCGGTTAGATCCATGTTATTAAATAAACCTGAAATCACTGAGGATTCACAAAACCAACCTCAAAATAGTTGGGATAAGGCTAGTAGAGATGTTTATGACACTGGAGCTTTCTTATCTTGATCCATGCAGTCACACTAAAGTCTTCTTAAGCACAATCTGATACAAGCAAGTTGCGATATTGAAATAGATAGTGAATTTGAAAATAAGGAAAACAGACACTTCAGCTGCCATTGGGTTTACTACAGAAGCTAAGCATCCTCCAAGGAAAAAAGAAAGCCAGATAGAGATGGAGATGTGATAGAGACAAGTATGAGAATTTTAAGCTTCTTCTTTTCAAATCTTCTGTGAGTTTACCTTCAAGATGGAACTCAAGCTATGTAAATATCAACAATGCGAATTCAGAAATTTAGGGGAAAAGCGCAGAAGATTCCAAATACCATTAGAATCATCAAGTCACTCTCTCTTACTGGAGTCACATGTCGAGCTACCGTAGCTCCGCTGGAGCAAGGCCGTCTTCTCAGCCTTCGCCGCTGCAATGAAGAGAAAAGGAATTCGCCTAGAATCAGGGAAAACAAAAATGGCGAATCAAGCCCTAGATCCGGGTCTCAGCTGGTTAAAGGACCGTTTATAATTTGTTATTTGCAATTAAATTTGGCGGATTTATAAGGCCGATACTGTAAAATGGCGCAAATAAAGCCCACAGAATTATTAAAATTATTGGGTATTAATTAAAATTTTAATTAATTTGATTAATTGATATTAATTAAATTTTAAAAATAAATAAAATAAGCCAAATGAATATAATAAAATTTCACAATCATATAAATATAACAAATTCAATTAGCTTAATATTCATCTTTATTAATTTTTTATTAAAATATCCTAACCCAAAATACTTACATCATTATATTCAATCATATTTATCTATCTAACCCTAAAGGTTTGTTTGGTCATAACTAGGATTTAACTCAAGCAAGATTAATAAGATATAACTTTATGTTTCTAGCATGATATTTCTTTGTGTTTTTATTATCATGTAAATTGATATTTTACATGGATAAATAAAAATGACAAGAAGATATTTAAGGCTCGTTTAAGTGGTCAAAGTCATAAAACGTTTTTAAAAATTCATGAAATCTTCTAATTTATAGTTGGGTTTACGGTTCTTGGAAATGAACGATGATTTTAAACTCCACGATTCTCTTAAAATGCTCATAAACAAGGTTATGATTGATTGTGGTGTTGTACGAGATGGTTGGTGGGTCCATAGTGTTGCTTATAGCCGAGTAGCATTAGGTTTTAAAAGGTTTCGAGGGATGACCAATATATATAGAGATGTTAAGGGATTACTTTGTGGGCTATGGTAGAGGAGAAGACTCGCATTTGAGTTCCTTGGAGAAAGGGTGTATGACTAAAGAATGGAAGAGTTAGGTTGGTTATGGGGAGGAAAGTCGATTTGTGGGTGGTGAGGGTCAAAGTGCGAAGTAAAATAAAGTTTTGATTTTTTTGGTGTTCAAGAGAAAATCAAGAGCTTTATTTTAAGGTTTTAGAATATAGAGGGGGGAAAAAAGAAGAGACCAGCATAAAATTAAAATAACAAACACAAAAGATCATAGGCATTATCAAAAATATCTATATAGTGGAGAGTGCCTTGTATTTTTCAATTCATTTGATAAGTCCTTCAAAGATGCAAGACTCATGCTTATATAGAGCTATAGGATAGTAAATAATGGAAAACCCTAATGCTAAGATCAACCAAATCAAGTCATACATGAAAAGTTTGTTAAAACTCTTCATTGAGCTATTGGGACTAAATACGTCAGTACTAATCAAAATGATAAACAAATAATTAAAATTAATTTTCATTATTTATATATTTCATTTTATGATCCTTATTGATTCATTCTCTTCCATGGGAAGATCTCTTAAGATGATAGATTCAACTTTTTTTTTTATCGACTTGGGTGCAGAGTAGGAGAAACTAATTTGAAGACATTAAAATGTGGCTTGTGATTCTTTCCAAAGCCAATCTCAACCCTGTATTTGACTTTTATAATTCTTTTCAAAGTAATGATAATGCTCTATCATGCATGACCCTTAGTTTTTTGCATGGGTTGTGATTCTTCCATGTCTTCAAAGGTTGTATCAACGGAAAAGAGTGTCAAAGAAACCTAAGGACCGTTTGCCCCTCCAATGTCCGCCCTCCTTCTGGTCGTTGACCATATGCCTTTGGACTGCCTTGGTTACGGCGACATCGATGCCTTCGGGGATGCTAGTTGCTTAAGTTGCTAGTTAAATTCTATAAGAACCCTATTACAAAATTTGTAAATTCTAACAATGGTTGTTCCTCGGGCCAGGACCATGATCCCACAATCCCAACATTTTGATCCAAAGTTTTAATTGCCCACCCTTCACAGTTCATGTGTGATCATCTTCGACAGACGAAGTTTCTTGATAGACTTTTAATCATTAATTCAGGTGGGTGATTGGTGTCAATGTGAGGTTTTGATTTTATAAATATTATTGTTTTACTACATTAAAAAACTATTTGATTTGACCATCCTGTGTGGGAACCGGAAACTGCGGGATGGTCGAACTATCTCGTGCGGAAACCTAGAGCCGCAAGGTATGTCATTTGGCATTTGAAGAAATTGGGAATTAGATGTGTTGAAATTGAATTTGTGTTTTGCCATTTTGTCATATTACTATGTTAAAATACTTAATTTTTAATAATATTATTAACTATTACATTATCCAGTTCGACCTATTTGATTGGTTGAATCTTGAAGCTCTCATTCTTCCAAATTATTGTGCAGTCCTATTTTTACCAACCTTGCTATATTGGATATTTAGGGCGCAGGCGCATTATTCTTTGATTTAATTTAAATTTATGTTCTTTGCTTTAATTAAAACGTTTGAAACGAGTTGAGCAGCTCATCGTTGCCCGTCCGGCTGCTAGATCGCTCCGATTTCCTCCGTCAGATCCTTTCCAACGAACTTGCATTAATTTCGGATTTTCCCGAGCAACCAAGGGAGACAACCAAGGGCTTTCGATTTCTTCTTTTGGTGAAGATCCAAATTTTCTAGCTTTCGATCTTCTTCGCAAAGGTCCCCGAGCTTGCTTCTCCTCATCGCTTTCTTTCGCAGGACCATGGCTCGCAGTCACAGTTCGGAGGACTCCGTTTCCAGCCCCAGTGCTTCCAGCTCCTCTTCCGGCGATGAGAACCTGGCTATCACGGGCACGATGCAGCCGACGGATCCTAACCCCGATCCCGAATCCCCTAACGCCGCCCACCAGTCCTCCGACGAGAGCGGCAGCAGCGACGGCGTCCTCGTCGAGCTCCCCAGCAATAACGACCAGGTAGAAGTTTCTTTACCGTTCCTTTTTGCGGTTGAGAGACAAAAGGTGTCTCCTTTGTTTCTCCTGACAGCGGACGAACGCAGGATTCCAGGAGTTTGCCCGGGGATCCTGATAGTGGCATTCTGGTAAATATTGATGGGTCGATGCAGGAGCATCAAGAGAGGGAAGATCTGTTCGTTGACGCTTCTGACAATCTCGGCAGCGGAGGTCGGGATCCAAAGCTCGGGGAGCCGGCGGCCATGGTCGAGGTCGGAGAGACCATACGAAGGAGAAGATCAAGAGAACAAGATCTGGAACGTGTTCAGGCTCTGTTGGATGCATCTTCTGCAGAGTGCCATAAATATAAGGTGAGAAATCAAACTCTCATTCCAGATTTGGAATTTGTGGGAAAATTACTGAGCTGTGGGACTATTATGCTGCGACACAGGAAGAAAGGGAGGCTTTTGGAAGGGAAGTTCTTACTCTCCGGACCGAGCTTGGGCATTTGATTAACCAGCAGTTTCTTAACAGCGAGGAGCTGTTCGAGTATCATGGGCGACTGGATAACAGGGAAGCTGAGCTTGGTGTTCTTGCATCTCCTGCCTCTCTGCATGCCATGGTGAAGGACTGTTCCAGATTTGCAGTTCATTTAAAGGGTGTTTTTGATGAGCGTTTGAATACAGACGAGGCTATGCTCGACATTAAAGATCAGGAGATTGAGGTTCTCAATGCCAAGATATTGGAATATGATATTTTTCGAGATGTTTTGATCTCTTACCTTGGTTCAGTTAGGGGGCAGTGCTCACAGTCAATGCATGAATACATAAATTTGATTAAAAGCAAACTGTTAGCTTCAATTCCAGCAATGGCTGTGACAGAGAGTGTTTCCTCTGAGGAGGAGTTAGTTGATGGTATATCTCTGATTGAGAAAAGAACCAAGCTTTTTGCTGAGAAACACAACAAGCTATTACATGAGGTAGAGCAACTTTGTCAGTTTATGGAGGAGATGAAGCCTGGTTCCTTAGCCACACAAGAGAATGAGTTGGGATTAGTATTTTCTGTTGCTCGGGATGAGTTGCTTGAACGCAAGAAGAAGGAAGGGGAGCTTGAAGAGAGAATTAGGAAGCTTAAGGAAGAAAACAGGAAAATGGATGAGCAAATTATTGGTTTGAGTAAGGACAAGGAAGAAGCAAATGCTGAGATGAGCAAAATCAAGACAGAATTGGAACAGTCAGAGAGCAGGCTCTTAGCAGCCAAAGAGAAACTTAGTATTGCAGTGACAAAAGGCAAACAATTGGTTCAACACCGCGATTCGCTGAAGCAATCATTGGGTAACAAAACAACTGAGCTCGATGCGTGTTTGCAGGAGTTGCAGCAGAAGGCAGATGCATTGGAAGCTATGGAAGCTCGTAATGAAGAGCTGAAGAAGTTATTATCAGATAAGGCATGTGAGCTAGAGAAATGTTTACTGGAATTGCAGGATAAATCTAACATCTTAGAAGAATCTAAAGTTACCGTTGAGGACCAGAAACAGTTGTTACAAGAGAAGACAAGCGAGCTCGAAAAATGCTTGCTGGAGCTGCAACTGAAATCTGATGCCTATAATATGGCAAATACAAATACTGAGGAGGTCAAGCAGCTTTTGTCTGAGAATAAAGATCAGCTGGAGAATTGCCTTCTGGAGTTGCAACAGAAGTCCAAAGATTTAGAGGCTGCTGCAGCTAATGCAGAGGAGCTGAAACAGTCTTTTAATGAGAAAAATTGTGAGCTTGAGGATTGTTTGCTCAATCTGAAACAAAACAGTGATGCTTTGGATACTGCTGTAGCTACAGTGCAGCAGCTGAAGCAAGCATTGGCTGAGAAAGACATTGAACTTGAGAAATCTTTGCTGGAGTTGCAAGAAAAAACTGTTTTAGCGACGAATACTGTTACTGTTTCCAAGGAGCTTAATGAAACCCAAAATTTGGTTCATTCTTTGCGGGAGTTGGTCTCATCTAAAGATAAGGCATTAAAGGATATAGAGGAGATCACTCATGAAACTGATTTTCCACAAGACCTCCTCTCCTTGGATATTGTGGATAAAATTAGATGGATTGTAACCAAGGCAAGTATATCAGATGAAATTTTACAGGAAAATCGCAGAGCCAAAAATGCATTTTTTTCTTTTGGTGTGCCTGAAACTATTTCATCAGCTGAATTAGATTCTCAAGTTGACTGGCTTGTGAGATCATTCGCCCAGTCTAAGGACGAACTAAGTAAGCTGCAAAGTGAAGTAACTCATACTCTGAAATTGCGATCAGAATTGTCCGAGGCACTTAAAGAAGTTGACAGTTTAGCAGAATCTTTGCTGAAGGAAAAAGAGGAAAAGGAAGCCCTATTAATTAAACATGAAGATCTTAAGGTCAGTCATGAAAAGCTTGCAGAAAATCTGGCTTTAATTTGCTCTGAGAAGGAAAAGTTTATAGAATTTCTAAAAGAGGTAACTACAACAAATTTGGACGAAAAGACTGCTCTTGACATGGATACAATGTTGGAGAAATCCATTGTTTCCCTTAGGCAAAAGATAAAAATATCCTTAAATGATGGAAAGAAGCTCGAGAGCATGCAAAAGTTATTGCATGTAGCACATGTTGAACTGACATTATTTGAGAAAATTGTTGAAGAGCTGCAAATGGATGGATCAAAGATGAGAAGTTTGTCTGATGAGTTGGGGGCAGCATTGGAGGAAGTTTGTGCTTTGAAAATTGAAAAGGAATCCATGCAAAAAGATCTAGAGCGCCTTGAAGAGAAAAATTCATTGATCAGGGACAAACTTTCTATGGCAGTGAAGAAAGGAAAGGGATTGGTGCAAGAACGTGAAGGATTTAAACTCACTTTAGTTGAGAAAAATTCTGAAATCGAGAAGCTAAAGGAAGAGTTGCAACTTCAGGAGTCCAAAGCTTCTGAATACCGTGAGCAAATTAAAAGTCTTTCTGCTTACCCAGAACAGGTTCTAAAGCTGGAGGTTGATATTGCTTCCTTAAAAGATAAAATAGAGCAAAGTGAACAGTTGTTCAGTGAAAGCAATGGAAACTTGAAAAAATTAGTTGATTCTATTAATGATATTGCTATCCATACTGATAAAATCTTTGAAGCTCCTATTGAAAAGGTTTACTGGATTGCTGGGCGGATCACTGAAACAGAAAATTCTAATGCTTTTTTGGAACAGGAGCTAGAGAAAGTAAAAGCTGATGCTGCTTTGAATTCTAACATGTTAGCTGAAGCTCTTGATACCATGAAGTCACTAGAGATGGAGTTGCTCAATAAAGAAAAACATATACGTGATATTTATGACGATAAGAGCAGCATCCAAGCTAGTAATGCTAAAGTTGAAGAAGAGCTAGAGGAAGCAAGAGAGGAAAGCTTCTTGCTGGCAAACAAGTTAAGTGATGCCTATGCAAGCATGAAATCTCTAGAAGAAAAAGTTTCTGCACTTGATTCAGAAAAGAATAAAATAGTTTCCGAAAGCAATCTAGAGATTAGTGCATTAAATGCCAAAGTATTTGCATGCATGGAAGAGCTCACTAAAACTCAGGGTAATTCAGAAAAACAGTCAGCTGAGCTTCTTTCAGAACTTAGAAAGCTCCAGTTGTTTATGAAGAAGGAAGGACTATTTCCCTTAATGATTGAACAATTCCATAAAAAGGCAGAGGGTTTAAGACATATGTGGATGCTAGTTAAGAACATTCATGATAATTTGGTGGCAAAGGGTCCTCATATTCACCCTGAAACGGAGGTGCACAGAAATTCCATCCTGTTTTCATCTCCACCCCCTTCTGCTCATTTTCTTTCTCTATGATTCACTTCTCTGTCTGCATTTTTCCCTATAAAATTTAACATTTGCAGTTGTTCATGATAATTTTGTGATTAGGCTTTATTTCTATGAGATAGAAGTGGAACTTTATAGTTGAAAATTTATTATGTCATATTGTGGCATTCATGGAATTTGTCTTCTTGTTTTTGAGATTTTCTTGACACGTTTTTTTATTTTCTAGATATAGCTCAACTCGAATATCATCTGTTTAATAGGAGCTTGACCATATTATAGGACACATTTTATTAGGATAAATATATCAAATACCCAATAATGCAGGTAGCATGCTGATGCAGAGATTGGGATGCAGGAATGATTTTACGTTGGATTTCAGTATTTTGATAAAGGTGAAATTTGGTTGACTCTGGTTTGTATGGAGGTAAAGGAGTGAGTTGAGGGTGTTAAGGAGAGAAGAAAGGAAAAAAAAAATGAATAAGCTATTAGGTTGGATCACACAATCACACAACTTGGATTACACATTGCTTCTCACAAGGAAAGCCTTTCTTCACTAAAAGGGAGTGCTAGGTTTCAAGGGGCATCCCCAAATTGAATTCAATGATAAATTTGTTCCAAATGACAAAGATATCTTTATATATACTAATGGCCTAACAATCTAATGCCTAAAGTATCCCAAGAGGTGTAGTATCAGACAAATACTAAAAATATAAAATAACACACAATAATGTCCACTTGTATGAAAGACATAATTAAACTACTGCTTAGTTTATCTGAAATAGATGACCCTCATACTCAGGTCAGAAATATGTACAAATAATGATGACAAATTTTTGGAATGTCCAATTGCTTTATCTGACTACATCAATTTCCCTGGGGCTAGAAGGATCCTTAGTCCAGAGAGTGGTTGTCTTGGTAGACGTTGAGCAAGCTAGGAGGCAATTGTTAATGCTCATCATGTAATCCAAGAGGATTTTAATTGTGGTTGATCTCTCCATCAATAAGAAATTATTTATTACCAATGGTACCAACTATGATCTTCTTCATCAACATCTGTTTAGGAGCAAATGTTGAAGTAGATAGATAAACTACTGGTTGAGATGTAGAAACTCTTTTCATAGAATGGCTTACAGGCATTAGTAAAGTCTCGAAAATACAAGTTTTCATGATGGAAATAGGATTTAAAATTATGTTAGGAGTGAAAGTGATGAGGACATCAGATTTTGACACGTGTACCATCGCCGGAGACGCAGATCGACGGCTACGATTCAGAGTCTCTACTTCTGATTTAGTTGCATTTTATTTTATGCTTGTATTTCTTGTTTCCCAGTTTGCCCCTATGGACATTGAGTCGTTTATGTAGCCCGGAAGGGCATTTGCGTCATTTCTTTTATTTCAATTTGGCCTACTTATATGAGGCCCCAGACATTGTAATAGTTAGTTTTTGATGAATGAAAATTTTGTTTTTGTGATCTCTTAGTGAGTTCTTGAGTGAAATTCCCCAAGATCTCTTAGTGAGTTCTTGAGGAGGAGTTTCTTTTCTTCTCCTAGCTGAAGATCCTCATCCCTCCATGGTTCTCCTACCTCCATCTCCCTCAAGCTTTTCCCAAGACCCGCCGCCCATTCCCTGCATTCTCTCCATTATTTTTCACCCTCCAGCCCCCAACCCGCTATCCCCTCCCAGCCTACCGCAGGCTGGAGCTTCTGCCAGCCCGACACCCACCATCCCGCCGTCCCCACCTGGCCCTACCGTCGGCTGGAACTTCTGCCAGCCCGACAGCCCCTCCCGCCGACCCTCTCAGCCTCCCAGTATTGCCGCCAGCCCCACCCCACAATTCTCTGTGAATTTCAAATTCCATGGAGTAATTTACTTTCCTAAGATAGCCTCTCTCTATTTAGGAAAGTCAATCAATGGGAGTTAACTCAATTTTGAAATTCAAACCTCTTTCCTTCCATTATTCCACTAAATCGGGAAACTTTCTAAAATGAAGACAAATATGAATTTAAAATCAGATTTGATCTTAATTTATTTATTCCCTTGGGCCCCACCTATTTAATTCCAAGCCCCTCTCTCTCTCCCATATGGCCGGCCACCTCACCTCTATTGTTTCTCTCTCTACTTTCCACCTCATCACCACTTAAACACCTCTTTAATACCTCTCTCTCACAGATTTAATTTCAATTTTCAAAGATTTTAATTTTAGATTTCAAAATCTGAAATTTGAAATCGATTCTTCCCTCTTTCCCCTAGTTAGAATCTGAAATTAAGTTTCAGGTTTCTTCTCTCCACTAAGTCACTTCACCCTCTTCTCTATTTCCCTCCCAAACCGTGACCTCCTCTTCATCTAGCCCACGGCCCTTCCCTTCTCACCTTGACCTCCCCAAACCGACCACCACCTTTCCCCTCTTGTGTGCACCTTCAACCCGGAGCGAGGATGCATGGCGGATCCCGTAGTTGATAGCGGGTTGGTACTCGACGCCTACGGTGACATCCACATCACCCGATCACCATTCTTCGACGTCCGGTTTGGCTCTAACGACACCATTGAAGATTATTTGAACCGCATCCTTCCCACTCTCGTGGACGTCATAGACGATCAATTCCAGGACTACGATTGGACCATCAACGGCCATCCACCCGCTTCTCCAACTCCCATTTCTTCCCCGGCGACGAGTCCTCTCGGCATCACCTGTGTACTAGTGGTATCGCTAAGTTTGCTTACGATCCTCTTTCGCTAGCCTCCACTTTCAAGAGTGATTGAAGGACCTCCAGGTGAAGGATCTATATGTTAAACGCGTGGCTTTGTTAAAATAAGCTTTTAGCATCACCTATATTTTTGGTTATTAAGTTTGCAAGTTCTCGTAATCTCAATTGTAATCAATTACTGTTGCTTTGTTTCTCATGCTATTTTCTGAAACCCTACTTGAGTAAATGTGTTTTTATTGGAAGTACGCTAAGTTCAAACTAGTTATTAATTCTTAAGTGCAATTCTTGCTGTCGTTTTAGATTCACATCATTTCGCATATAGATTCACATCATAAAGCAACCATTCAGGTGGTATTATAGTTGATACATGGAGTTTCCTAAGGTTTTGCAGCAGGAAGGAACTAACGAGTGGTAGAGCAGGAAAAACCTAGTAATAAGGAATAGTAGTCCAATACCAGATGTCCTGATAATTCTAATCATAACAATTGTTCAATTGAATATGAGCTTTGATGTGCTGAATTGTATTTTGATAGGCTGAATTGAAACCTAGCAATACTAAAGTAAATTTAATGAAATATTTAAACTACTAGAGAACCCACTTTGTTCATGCAGGAGCCATCATCCTGATCATGTTTTACCCAAAATAAATTAAAGGAAAACAAAATACAATAGCAAAACTCAACGCTCATCTCTTTCTATGCCCCTTTTTTTGTTCACTTTCAAATTTTCGTCAAATTTGCTCAACCTGATAAAATAGGGCTTTGATAAATTGAACATTTGATATTCATCAAGTTAGTTTGGGCATGAATATCGTGCTTCCTATAGATTAATGAATGAGTTATAACAAGTAGGCCTATTGTTCTTATGTATAAGATATCTCTGATATCCACTATTAGTAGCGGTCACAATCTTATCATTGAAAATAGCTTTTGAAACCAATTAAATAAAACTACATGTTAGGGTATTGGATGTGAATTTGTAAGGAGGGGATGAAAAGAAAAGAATCCATAACATTAGTAAGGCCATATCATATATGTTGAAGACTAGACTGATACTAGTACTTCCCAAAATTACTTGCTTGTTAGTGTTCATTCCAATATGTTGTAAAACTTTATATGAACCGGAACCCTCCTTGTAGTTAATTTCTTAAAGGCTTTTAGAAAACCTTTCTAGATTTAGACGCAAAATTATCTTATCAATTGGTTTGAATTCCACATGTATCATGTTTACATAAAAAACATTCTTGTAATTATCATAATTAATTGATAGTTTTCTACAAATATTTTTATGTTGATTATGTATGGTTGCACAAATTTACACGGGTTGGATGCAATAGGAAGTTCTACAAGATCTATAGGCTTCTTAGGATAATATCCTATGAAGAAGTCAAATGGATTCATGCCCATTAATATATTGACAGATGAACTATATACAAACTCAACCATTGGTAGTATCGGATCCCACCTAGATGCATGTTCTTTGATTCGACAACCTAACAAATGGCCCTGGCTCCTATTAACTATTTTATTTTTGACAATCGGTTTTTGAATGATAAGTGTTAAAGATTTTAATTAGGTACACATTTTCTTTGATAGAGTTTTTCAAATGAATTTTATGCCATAGTTAGATATAATCATTTTTTATAGTTCAGATAGTTTATTGACTTAATTAGGTATAAATTTGCCACATTAGAAGCATCAATAATTTTAAAATATGGAATAAAATGGGTCTTTTTTGAAAAAGAAACTAACTAGTAAATAAAATCATATTTTCTTACCGTTAGCAGTAAACTTGGATCAAAGTCCACACTTTCATTCTCCTGCAACAGTGTATAAAGCCTAGTATTATTATTATTATTGTTTTTTGTCTGGCATGTTATACATGATTTCACTAACGTGTAACATCTTATTTTAAATTAAGCCAATAATGCGTATCCTTAGTTATGATAAGAGTTTTATCTCAATCAAAACGACCTTTTACACTACAGACATGTAATTCTAAGATAAGCAATCTCAGAAAGATGAGTAAGAGATGCAAAGTGGAGTTTTCCTAGCAAGAAATCTATACTTAATCATAAAATTCTTATTGAGCATAGGTAAGGTACCAACTAAATCGAGATATATCTCATTGAAGTCCTCATAATTGGCATAATTTTATTTAATTTGAGCGACATATGTTACCTTAATTAGCATGCTTTGTAAAATGATAACCCACCTACTTAAGGTGTCTACAATTTTATTATTAGTTCCAACATAGTCTTTTAGTACAAAAGAGTATTTTTGTGAGAATTCAAACTATTTAGTATATCTTTCTATGCTCAAATTTATTGGGAATCTATATATTTTAAAGACTAATAATGATCTAAATATTGAACAAACTCCTTAGGCAATAATTAATACGTTTAACATTGGTGTGATTGTACAATGGAATAGAATTTCATTTCATAATTTGAATATTACTATTTCACATCATTTAACTTCTAATTGAAATAAGCTATTGGATGGCCATTTTGTTTTAACACTTCCTCAATTCCAACACCAAATGCATCACAAAAAACTTTTTTTTTTTTTTTTAATTCTAGTAATCTTAGTACACATGCACTAGTAAATCTCTTTTTTTTATGTCATTGGATGCAGACCCAACAAATTTTGTCAATTTGAATTCTCCCTTTTAAAGAGAATTATTAACTGATGATATGGCTATTAAATCTTTTTTGTTAAAGATAGCCAAAGTTACAATCCCTCCAGAGTCACAACCCCTCCATAAGAACTATTATTACTAAAGTTGCACTCCATATATTTAGTTTTATAAAAAGAATATCTACTCAAATGAAAGCTTTTAGACTCTAAGGTTGACCTCCATAATTCAAGTTTACCGTCAACTCCCTCTTTAGTCTTATCAACAAGAAGAATATCATCAGCAAAAAGCATATACCAGAGTACAATCTCTTGCAAATGTCTAATAAGAACATCCATGACTAAAGCAAAAAGATATGGGCTTAAGGCTGATCCTTGATGTAATCCAACTGAAATAGGAAAATACTTGGTCAAACCGCCTCGTGTCTGAACACAAGTGACAGCTCCTGTAGACATATCTTTCATGACTTGAATATAAGCATTATTAACCCCATGCTTTTCTAGAACTCTCCACAACAACTCTCCACAACACTTCTCTTGGAACTTTATCATATGCTTTCTCTAAATCAATAAATATTATATGTAAACCCTCCTTGTTCTCTCTATACTTCTCCCTCATACCTCTCAATACATGTATAGCTTCCATAATAGACCTATCCGGCATGAATCCAAATTGATTTTGAGAAGCATTAGTATCACGCCACAACCTATTCTCCACAACGCTATGCAGAGCTATAATAAAACAAAATTCATTCTCCTCGTTTCATCAAGCTTCAAGCAAGTTGGTCCAAAAGAGTTCTTTTTTACTAAACTGTTGTTTTCCCATAATTTTGGATGATTAATCATTTGGCTTCATGTTATGTGTATTTGATCTTTTGTATTTTTATTAGTTTAGCAATTCTGGATAGTTGCCTTATTTTACTCATACTTTCTTATTATAAAATTATGATTTAAAAAAAATGAAGTAATTCTTCAGACATCAAATCATGTTACTTGTCTAAGAGAACTTTGGAGTCGTGTGTCCCATAATCAAATGTAGAGCAGCTTTTTCTTGATTTTAGGTACTATGGTAATCATCATTATGATATTGATGCTAATCATGATAATTTCTGCATATATTTTTCGTGATAATCTTGATTTATTCTGAATTTTTCGCAATCATAGTCAACCATAGTAGTGCAATAAGGATAACATGCACAGTCAAAGAAATATGTTTTGTCTATAATTAAACTTGTTATATAGTACTATATGTAATGCAATAAACTTAATTGTTGATTTTAAAGAATCTATGATAGGCATAATAGGTAATAATACTATCAACTCTGCTTATGAATGTCCAACTTTTTGCAAGAAATGGTTGGTTCTAGCTATGTAGCGGTTGCTAGTGAACAGGGCATAGGTATAAAACTTCAGAATTTGGTATATCTGAAACAAAAAGGTAGGTGCTAGAAGCTTTGCACACTACAAATCATTGATGGCAAAATGCTCTCAATTATTTCAGATATTCTCAGAAGTTAGTATAGCAATATAGTTGGACTAGGGAACATCCTCGAATGAAATAATCAGGATTGGTTGTAGAAATTCTATAAATCTGATGTGCTTTTTTTTTATGTATAACACTGCAACTATGTGTACACTCTACTTTAAGTTTTTATTACCCTTTGGATCAAAAAGCATGGAAGGCGATCTTAACCTCAAGAAACTTCTTCAAAGTTCTTACTCTCTTTTCTACATTTTCTATACTTCATTTTTGCTTGGCAAAATGCAAGCATGATAGACATGTCATATTCAGTCATTTGAAAATAGTTATGGCTAAAAGCACTGAAAGAATGTCATAACTTGCAGGAAATCTCTGTTTTTACAAATCTTTCATCACTCCCAAGCTTTGAGGACTTCATCAATAATGAAGTTTTTCATACTGAGCCTATGTTAGAAGATGATGGTGCTGTGACTTCTTGCAAGAAGATTGTTGAAAAGATATATGAAGAGGCCAGACTTCTAAATGATAGGTTCACTGGACTTTCTGGTTACATTGATGATCATATCACATTTACTTTGCAAGCTTTACAGTCAGCTAAGGATGAGTTTATGCACACACTTTATCTCAGTGAATCCTTGAAGCTTACTATAGAAAAGCTGGAAACTCGTAATCAGGCACAAGAGTTTGAGATTTCTTCATTACAGAAAGATGCCCTGAGGCTTCTATCTATATGCAAGGATGCTACCCAAGAACTCCATGTCAAAGTTTCTGATTTGTTAGGCTTTGATTTAGAATTGGAAAATGTCCACTCTGGGCTTGACTTGAGATCACCTGTTTCTTTTCAAGGCAAGATAGAAAAAGAGGATGCTAGTGAATTTGCCCAAGTAGCTGATAATTTATTACTCACTTGCAGAAAAATAATAATTCAATTTCAAAATTTAGTGAAAGTTGATAAAGACATGTCAAATTCCTTAGAAAATCTGAAGCTTAAACTGAACCATGCTGAGATGAGTGCTGAAACGATGATAGGTGAGAGGAAACTCATTCAAGATAGGGTTTTGAAGTTGGAAGGGGACATGGATGAACTTCAAAATATCTGCAATGAGATGAAAGTTAAACTGATTGATTACCAGTCTAAAGAAAATTTGATTAAAGACAAAGAGGCTGAGCTAAAACGGCTAGAGCATTCTCTAACTGCAAAAGACAGAGGTACATCCATGCTGTGTGTTTATGTCTTCTGGAAGTCTCATTTGGTTTCTATGTGTTTGCTGATTTAATCTTTTTCCTTTTCAGGGGTTGGAGATGAAATGATCTCAAAAGGTCAGATAGAAGTCCTCTTTGACAAGGTAAATAAACTGATTGTTCTGGCAGGTTCATCCGGTCAGTCTGAATCACAAAGCCAAGAAATATATTTTTCCAGTCCTGCGGATAAGCTCTTTTATGTTGTAGATAAATTTTCAGAGTTTCAGCAAGGTTTCTATTCACTGACTTGTGAAAAGGAAAATTTGCAATTAATAGTTGCAAACCATGTTTGTGAAATTGAAAACCTGAAGAATTCTGCTTTATCTATTAGTACTGACTATCAAGATCTACAGTTGAAGAAATTGGAGCTAAGTGAGGTGACATCCATATTAGAAAAGATTATGCATAAGTTATCAGGCAACTATTCTTTTGAAGATCTGAAACCAGTTACTGCAATGGGGCTAATACGAGTTTTGGAAAGGCAGATGATAGCCTTAAGTGTGGATCTTGAAAGCTCCAAATCCGAAGTACACGAGCTGGGAGGCAAATTGCAAGCAAAGGATATGATTGTCAGTGAATTATCTGCAAAGGTTAAGCATCTTGAGGATTCTCATGCTAGGATTCAACAACCAGATGTTAAAGAACGAACTGTATTTGAATCTTCAACATCAATGATGAGGCCAGAGATTACTGAAATCGAAGAGACGGTGAGACGCTTTTTCTTTTCTCTCTTATTTTAAGTGTTTTTTTGTTTTGTAATTGATAGCCTCTTTATGCATTTGATGGGGAGGAAGCTAGGCAACAAACTGATTTTGCTGGATTTGCTTTTGGAAGAAGTTATAGGAAGCCAAAAGAGCTTGAGTATTATGAGTAGTAGGAGGTTTACCAAAAGCACCAGGTGCTCTGATGGAGATATGGCTTCCTAATGCTCTAAATCATAGGTACTAGCCCCAGTGAAGTGAGGTGCCAAAAGGGAAAAAATAGCCATTTCACTTATAAATTTATTGTAGTTCTAGGAAATTCTCTTGAAGAGTATAGAATGGTAATCTTCTAATTTAATAATGTTGCTGAAATAATGAATCTTGAACTTTCATTGCATTCCAAGTTTGAAAATCTTTCTACTTAGTTTATCTTTAATATATAAAATTAAACTACTTAAATTTGTAGCATGTTGTTGGACCGGTCCAAGGTGGACTGGTCCAGTCGGCCCTAAACCAGGGCTGGCCCATGGTCTATTCCTGGGTGATAGGAAGCTGCCGGCCGCCCATGTGGGCCCATGATTTAATGGAAATTTTCAAATGGGAGGGGGGGGAGGGGGGGAGGGGGGGGGGGGGGGGGGGGGGGGGGGGGTTAGGAGGGAAGTTATTTTAGGAAAGGGCTGGTGAGTAATTATGCCTTTATTCTGTATTTATCTAAATAAGGGGGAAAGGGTTAGGGTTATGTTGAATTTAGGAGTTCTTTAGGTTTGCTTGGGCTCTAGCCACCGGTTAGCGATTGGGAGTGCCAAATCTTCCTCTCGAATTGAAGATCCATTGTATCTTGCTTTTGTTTTCACTTTTCTTCTATTATTAAGTTTTCCAACTGATTTACCAAGGAATTTCTTCAAATTCCTGCATTGTTCTTGTTGAAATCCTTAATTTTAGTTGTTATTTTGGTGAATTATGCACTTGTTTCCTATCAAATTGGTATCAGAGCACTTTCTTGGGCGGAAAAAAACAAGTCTTCTTCATTGTTTTTGCAATTGAAACCTAGATCCAATTAATGGCAGCAAAGAAGATGGATGCGTTGGAGGACGAGATGGAACAACTCAAGGCCGGAGTAGAGGAAAAATATTCAGGGGTGAAGGGAAAACTATCGGCCGTCGATAACCACTTTGGGAACTTTGAAGTGATGATGAAAAGATGCTTGAGATGCAATTGAAAGCATCCCCAGCGATTCCTAGGATGGAACCACAAGGAAAGGAGATCTAGGAGGACGACGATGAATTGGAGAGTGTTTTCCATCAATGATTGCCATGTGGAGCCCCATTGGTGGGCGGATTGGGTTATTCTGAAGGGAGGACAGCAAGGAGGAAGGAAGTCGACCCCTTTGGGAGATTATCCGGGCATGGGGAGAGGTGGCATGGAGAAGGGTATAGTTGGGGGGAGCCATGGAGTCGAAACCAACCAAGGGAGGAAAGAAGGGAATCACACCACCACTACACCGAGGGAACCAACGGGGGAAGGAACCAATGGGGTATGGATGTGAGGGCAAGGAAGCTGAAGATGTCGGTCTTTGAAGGGGAGTATGCTCAGGGTTGGGTGTACCAGGTGGAATGTTACTTTGCTATCAATGGGCTGACTGAAGGGGAGAAACTCATGGCGGCGGGTCTATGTTTGAAGCCCTCACCTGGTTTCAATAGAGGTGGGTGTGGTATTCGATTTACTCATGGGGAGGGGGGGGGATTTAAGGAGTGCTTGTAGGAACACGTTTTTGAGCCATCCGGGAAGGGGACCTTAACGAGCAGTTCTTTGCCCTAATTCAAGAGGGGATAGTTATGGAGTTCCGGGAGAAATTTGAGCTATTGTCAGGAAGACTGAAGGGAATCTTTGAGGAAGGATTGAAGGGCAATTTCATGAAGGGGCTTAGGGAGGACATACGGGTAGAACTCATGGTACTGAGGCCTAGGGGACTGAGGGAGACGATGGAGCTGGCTCAGAGGGTGGAGGAAAAATGTAAGAGGGAGAAATCCATCAGAAGTAAAATCATGGGAGGGACCTATCGGACTACCCCTATAACTCTAGCTCTCATAACCCAAAAAATATCCTTCCAAAGAGAAGCTCCTAGGGAGAAGAGCGCTAGGGTTCACCCAAGGGCGAACTTCAAGTGACTCACAGAGGTGGAGGTGCAGGAGAAGTGGGCAAAGAGATTATGTTTCAGATGTGATGAGAAGTACACACCGGGGCATAAGTACCGAACTCTTCAGGTTTTCACTGTCTGTGATGACGAGGAACTGAGGGAGGTGGGAGTGAGGCATCGATGGAGGAAAAACTGAATTTAGACATGACTGAGGTCTCCTTGAACTCAGTGGTGAGGTTCACTACAAATCATACTATGAATGTGAGAGGATAAATATCAGACAAGGAGGTAGTTATGCTGATAGATAATGGAGCCACCCATAATTTTATCTCCAACCAAGTCGTAGAGTTATAGGGGCTAAAATTGGTGGACAAAGGGTGCTATGGGGTGATGATAAGAATAGGGAAGATGGAGATAGGTAGAGGTGTGTGTAGGGGAGTGATATTGATCATACAGGAAATCCAGGTGAGGGAGGATTTTCTCTCGTTGGAGCTGGGGAGCACTAATGTCATCTTGGGAATGAGATAGCTACAGACCTTGGGGGATACCAAGGTGAATTAGGGGATGCTAACAATGGAGCTGATGGTGGAAAGGAGGAGGTGATGATTAAGGGAGATGTAGGCCTCTCCAAAGCCATGGTATCACCAAAAACTTTGGTAAGAGCCATATAAGAGGAGGGAGGAGGATTTATGGTGGAGCTACAGAGCTTGGAGGGAATCATAGGAGAGGAAGGAGGGGACATACCCCTTTCAGTACCGTCGATTATACAATAGTTTGGAGAGATTGTTCAACCACCTTAGGGAATGCCACCACAAAGGGACATGAGCATTCCATCACGCTAAGGGATGGGTATCATCGATTAATTTCAGGTCTTACCACTACCCTCCGATCTAGAATGATGAAGTTGAAAAGCTGAATCAAAAAAATGTTGGAGCTTAGGATCTTCAAACTGAGTGTGAGCCCTTTTTCTAGCACAATTCTACTAATTAAAAAGGATGGAAGTTTGCATTTTTGTGTGGACTACCAGACCCTAAATTGGAAGTTTGTGCCAGACAATCATCCTATTCCAGTAATAGATGAGCTGCTAGATGAGCTTTATGGTGCGGCAATATTCACGAAGGTGAACCTGAAGTTCGGATACCATCAGATTCGGATGAGAGATGAAGATGTTCTGAAGACAGCTTCCAGGACACATAAGGGATACTATGAGTTCTTGGTGATATTGTTTGCTCTCATTAACACCCCGACTATCTTCCAGTCCCTCATGAACAAGGTGTTTCGACCTTATCTCAAGAAGTTTATTTTGATTTTCTTTGATGACATCTTGGTGTATATCAAATACAGTGAGAAGCATTTTGAGCATCTTAGGATGGTCTTGGAGGTGTTACAGGAGCATCAACTGAGGGACAATATAAAGAAGTGTTGTTATGCACAGGCGAGTGTGGAGTACATGCAGGGGCGGAGCCAGGATTTTTTTTTATGTGGGGGCACAAATTATTGAAGTTAAAAAATCTCAACTTTTTTCATCCGGGCTTGGAACTGGCATAGGCGTTTTTTATTTTTTTGTAAATCATTGGATTCATTTTACAAAGATAAAATATATGATAAAAAAACTTACAATTAAGAACACTAAATCTTGAGATTCTTATTATCTATCATATATAATTTCTCCCGTCGAGACTTCATTTTTTGAAATCATTGTACAATCAAGTCATTGTCAATACTATTAAATATAGCATTTTCAATATAAGTAAGTAAATAGTCATTCATTCAAGAGTCTCTCAAATGATTGTACAATCAAGTTATTGTCAAAAGAAAATATGTCAGTTAAAAGATAAATAACTAAAAAATTTTACTGTCAACTGTTTCACAGGTAACAGAGCAGTGGAGCACTCGCAATCCTTCGCTTATGGAATTGTTTCTGAATGCATAACAAAACAAAATCGGCTTAACTAAGAAATAGCATAAAAACTATTAAACAATTATAGGATTTTGCCTGGATTAGTTTTAATTATTAATATGATAGTAAAGTTAATAAAAATGCTTGCAAAAACTGGGAAACAAATTTACAGGCGTGACTGTGTGATCATGAATTCCCGTATGAGAAGTTGTTTTTACAAACAAATTTAAACACCATCAAAAGGATATATTTATGAGAAGTTATTTTTACAAACATAAAATGTCTTAAAAACAAAGAAAAAGTATTACATTTATCTTAACAAAGAAACAGTAGAAAAATAAGAGAAAAAATTATCTGAGTGCAGTTCTCTCACAGAATTATTGCAATATATTTCTCAAAATAATATATTACATTTTACTTAACAAACAAAACTAAAAGCAGATAAATTAGAGAAAAAAAATTATGTGAGGATCTGGTTTTTTGTAATTCTTCCTTTAGAAAAAACATCAGAAAATCTGCTTCGAAAATCTACTTCGGAATATTAGTGTATTACCTTTTGATTCCTGATAACATCAGAACTCAAAAGGAGAAGAAATGAAAAATATTACCTTTTGATTCCTCAAATGTCCCAAAGAGACGAGAACTTCGCACAGGAAACTGCCGACTGCAGTGGCCGCTCACCTGCCTGCTGTCCCGTCGCAAGCCGTCAATCCGCGGTGAAGAAGTAAGCAGCGGCGGTGAAGAAAAAAGCTGTGACGTTTATCTTTTTTTTTCGGTCTGCCGCCTTCTATAAGCAGAGGCGGTAATTTTAGTACAAAAAAAACCCAAAAAATTGCTTTTAATTGTAATTAGGTAGCAATAAATGTATTTAATAAAACATTAACTAAAAAATCAGTGGGGGCTCGTGCCCCCAGGGCCCCATGGTAAATCCGCCCCTGAGTACATGGGGTACATGGTATCACAGGAAGG